TTAAGTCTTGAAGACTGGCATTCAACAACATTTTATAAGAAAGCAAAGTATATGAATGAATGATAGGACAGAGGTGTGTTATTAATATGCCTGTAGAATATGAATTAAGGTCAACCCTACTTTGAAGGGAGTCCTGATGTGGCGCTGTGGGTTAATGCACCTGACTGCATTTGAACTACAAGGTCGGTGGTTTAAGCTCACCAGTCGCTCTTTGGAAACCCTACACAGGGTCACAATGGGTCAGAACCTACTCGACGGCACTTAACAACAACAACAACTACTACTTTGAAGAGGCAGTTCTTTCCAGTCATTGTTTCATTGCCTTCCAACCTGAGGAGCTCATCTTCTGGTGCTATATCAGACTATGTTCTGCTGCTCTTCATAGTATTCTCAGTGGCTCACCATTCATAAGTAGTCTGCCTTTCCTTCTTCATAGTCTGTCTTAGTTGGAAATGTGTCCACCATGGGTGATCCTGCTAGTAATTAAAATACTGTTGACACAGCTTCCAGCATCGCAGTAAAAGACAAGCCATCACCATGTGTCAAACTGACAAATGAGTGGTAGAAGATATGTTATTGAAGAACAAAAGAATGAATTTTGAGCACATGGGCAAATATGAAGATGGAGGGATTACTCTAAATTGATGTGAGTACTTACAGGAAGTTGAAAGTTCCTGGGTGGTGCAAATAGGAAGCTTGTCTGTTCATTGAAAGTTTGGAAGTTTGAGTTCATCAGAAGTGCCTTAGAATCAAAGTCTGGTGAAAAGTGAGCTATCGAAAGCTTGATAGAGCATAGCTGTATTCTAAAATACATCAGGTTGCAATGAATTGAAGTTGACTTTATAAAAACTGTTTATTGGTTAGAGTAAGTGGAATAAGAAATGTTCCAGAGTGTTGCTTTGAAACTTGAAAAATGGTCTAAATAAGAGGTGCTCAAAAGGAAGATGACACTTTTTCTGGGGAAGAGACATGTGGTACTATAAAAGATATTGTTCAAGTATCAAGGCATATATAATACCATCCACCTGCATTCAGGGGAAAATTCCACCATCTTTGCCCAAAGCCTGCACACTGCTTTGACACGGATCACTTCAATGACTGGTGATGTACAGAAGTGATCATTCTTCATGTTCCAAGACTTGGTTTAGCCTGTCTGAGTAAGTCATATGATCCATTACTCACCCCACAATTCCTGCATGAGCTCAGTTCAAAATGGCCCATGTGAACCATCACCCTAAAAAGGTGTGTGTGTGTGCTGAGAGTCTACTAGGAATAGTGAGATGGAGTGAAAGAATTTCTCACATCTGTATTTGGAAGAACTGAATAGAAAAAAAAAAAAAAAGTTTAAGGGTCTCAGAACAGAGAAAACAGTTGTAGTAAAGTTTATATTCTCATAAATCTTTCCTCCCTAAAGTGTTTATTTCTAATGTTTTAAAAGAATTCAGGACATCTAAGTTATTTCTAATTTTGTTTTATTTGTTTGGTTGTTTGTGCTTTTCCCTAAATAGATAGAAAGGGTGTATAAAGGAACTTCTTTTGTTAATTTTATCAAATTTAAAATTATCTAAAGCAGAAACATTTGTCCAATGCATATATATATGTATATATACATATGTATATGGTGGTGGTGGTGATGTGCCGTGGAGTCAATTCCGACTCATAGTGACCCTGTACAGGGTTTCCAAGGCTGTAAATCTTTACAGGAGTAGGAAGCCTCATCTTTCGATATATCTATATAGATATGTATTTTTTATGTATCTGTGTTTCTCTGTCCTTTCAATAATGTAACAGATGAAAATCAACCACTTGGAAAAAATGCAATTTGTAACTCAAAAATTAGGAAAACAACAAATATATGATTGCATGGTCTGCTAAATTGATGCTTTTATTTTAAAACAGTTATCATTTGAAAATACCAGATACAGTATTTTTAATGGCTAAACTTTATTTAATAGCTGTCAGAAAGTCCACAAATGTACCCAAAAGGATTTCTGAATACAAGTTATTAAGTGCCTTGAGTTGGTTCTGACTGAAAGCAACCCTGTGTAAGGTTTCTAGACTTTATGGGAACAGAAAGCCTCATCTTTCTCACACAGAGTGGCTTCTGGGGTTGAATCATCAATCTTTGGTTAGTAATCCAGTATTTATCTGACACCAGGACCCCTCAGCATACAATGTTGTTACTGTTAAGTGTTTCCAACTCATAGTGACCCTGTATGGGGTTTCCAAGGAGCAGCTAGTGGGTTTGAACTGCAGACTTTGTGCAATCCAGTGCTTATCCTATAATGACACCCCAGAAGTCCAAAATTAAACTCGGAACTTGTCATTTAATCTTTAGAGCCCAATAAATACTGGAAATCCTCTCATTCCCCACAAAGGAAGATTGTGTGTGTTTCTCTTCTTCTCTTATGGTTATTGGCTTGGACCCTGAAGCTACCAAAGGGGGATGTGCCAAAGACTAGGTGAAAGCAAATGTGTAGCACAGAAAGAGCGATCAATGAAGAGTAAAATAATTTATAAATAAAAATCCTTCGGGGATCATTTCCCCCTCAAGTTCAACAGGGCAAAAGTTTCCCCATAAAAGAAACAAACAGTCACCATGAAATTTAATTACATTTCAAAGTAATGTAGTTACATGAAAGGAACAAAACATTTTTACTCAATAGTTTGCCTACCAGATGATGTTTCTAAATATAGTAATCTAAAACCTTCTGTTTGTTCTATAAATAAATAGAGAAGAAAGGAATAGCAATAATAGCTAAGCATTTAAATCACTGGAAATAAAACAGCACTTCAATTAGACTTGGAAAAATCTGACACATTCTAATAATGCTCATGTTTGGGGATAGCTCAAATCTTAGCTGAAAATCAAAATCCCAACCTTCAGGTATCTGTCCTGCTTACCTATTTTGCTTAGAATGGTGCTCATCCACTTGGAAGAGCAAACAAGGAACTGAAACCAGAATACAGGGACATCTATTAAATTAAAGGTTACCAGGTCCTTAAGTGATATAAATGGTTTTTGGTTGACTACTGACTCCGTAGTAGTTACGAATCGGGCTGCTAACCTCAAGGTCAGCAGTCTGAAACTACCAGCTATTCCACGGGTGAAAGATGAGGCTTTCTGCTCCTGTAAAGATTTACAGCCTCGGAAACCCTGTCACTATGAGTTGGAATAGACCCCACGGCACACTACCACCACTGACTTAAAGATTGGTAGTTCGAACCCATTTGAAGCACTGTGGAAGATAGACCAGGTTATCTGTAAAGATTGTTGTTATTGTTGTTAAGTAACTTGGAGTCGGTTATCCCCTAAACTGATCCATGATAATAAGCAGTTATCCAGAAGAATGCAGGGGATTAAGTGATCACTGTGAACACATAAACGATGAACTGTAATTGCTTAAATATAATGCAGACTACGTTGATGGAAGGCCAGTGTTGAATGGCACTTAAAGTTCTAGTGGAGCGTGGTGGCTCCATACAATAAGCTCTGAACTGCGAAGCACAAGGTCTGTGGCCCAAGTCCACCATCCGCCCCTAAGAAGAAAGATGAGGCTTTCTGCTCACTCTTAAACCCTCATAAACCCTATGATGTTTGTTGTTGCTAGGTGCCATCGAGTCAATTCCACCTCATAGCAACTTTATGCACAACGGAACAAAGCACTGCTCGGTCCTTCCTTTGCCATATTCACAATTGGAAACCCTATACAGCATTGTTGTGAATCAGAACTGGTTTGAAGGCACTTGGAAACTACGTTCTAATGAGGTGATTTGTTGAATTTTGTATGAAGAAAGAGCCACCTGCTGAGACAACCACTCTCAATATTAAAGAATGTTTATGGTTAGGACTTTATAAAGAAAGTAATTCCATTTATAATCCACTTCCAAACTAAAATGTTCAAATAATGATTGCAAAGTTGTATCTTTTAAATTCAATTACTCTGGTTATTGGTGAATAGATTGAGATTAGTAGAGATGTTGTTCATTGTCAACGATCTGGGGTATGGCCAAAGCCTGTTTGTTGCCAAAGCATATTTGTGGTCAAAGGGGTTGACTGTGACATCATGGAAAATTACAGTCTGAGATCAGGAGATCTGGATTAAAATTCCAGGGTGTCACTTTTAAATCAACGTCACAATGTGGATAATTGTACTAAACAGGATTATTTTAAAAATTAGATTTGCTTCGTAAACTATTTCTTAAAACGACACAAAGAAAAATTATTATCATCATATGGCTGACTGCTGGTGTGGTGCTGTATGATCAGCACTGGACCGTGAACCACAAGGTCAGCAGTTCAAACCCACCAGCTGTTCCTTGGAAACCAGATACTGAGTCGCCATGACTCCAAACTGACTTGATGGCACTTAACAACAAAAATCTTAGGGTCAATATAAAAAACTACAAAGATCCTGAACTTGTTTCAAATCAGAAGGTAAAATATGTTTATAGCTGTTAAATTGTAAACATAATAATACCACCAACACAAAATAAAGACACTCTTGAATTTTATGATTGCACTTAAAAACCCTACAGTAAATGTCTTGCATATAGATATATTAATTATGAGGCTGGCACAAATTCTCAGCAAAATTAATCCCTCAGTACAGCGACAACTAAGACTCGAACCCACATAATTTAAGGTACCAGATCCAATACTATGGTAAGGTATTATTGAGTCCAAGTAAACGCTAACACAGCGGTTTATTAATTTATTTCGGAGTGGAACTAGATGTGGAGCTGTAGGATAAGCACTGGACCGCAAGGTCGGCAACTGTAGTGATTGACGGTTCAAATACACCAGCTGCTCCTCAGAAACCCTACAAAAGGTCGCTAAGATTCCTAACCCGCCGGACTCCACTAAAGAAGGCGTACCCGGTAGCGCCGCGCGTGCACACTGCCAGGCGCGCCCCCGCAGAGCGTCAGCGTTCTGCGTGCGCGGCCCCGCTGAAAAGCGAAGGGGTGGGGCCTAAGAAGTTCTCGTGTTGTCTGCAGAGATGGCGTCTGCTTCTGTTCGTCTCCAGCGGAGTCTGGTGTTGCCGACTGGGCGACACAGCGCCTCTCTGATCTTCCTGCATGGTTCAGGTGGATTGCAGTTTTATTCCCTGGTTTTCTGCAGCGTGGAAAATGCGTCCCGTCCATTCCCCGCGTGTTGTCCCAGTGGGGAGGGAACGAACGCTGGGGTCAGAGGTCCCAGAGTCGGTGACTGACCTCCTTAGCTTGGCGGCGGTGCAAACGCTGGCGTGGTCCCTGCCGGAGCCTTCCCCCTTGTCTTCCCCTTCCATTTTCCCGTCATTGGCCCACGATCCTTGCTTTTAGTCCTTGTCTCCGTCCACCCTCCCTCCACAGTCCAGCCCCAACCCTTTCCCGTAAATTTAAGCAGAGCAAGCTAGTAAGGTAAGTCTCCTAGAAGCAAACACATTACTTAGTGTTTTTCAGCGTCAATTACGAGTGATTTGAGCTTCCAACCGCAATGCATTATATTTCTCATTGTTTTTATTCTCCAGTCTTTCTGTATTAATGTGAACAGATGAGATTCACGGATAAAGTCAATAATATTTATTAAGCATTTCCTTTTTGTGAAGCACTGCTTCAGGGCTGGAGTGTCTTTCATTAAGCCATCAAGTGTTGTGATTGTTAGTTTCCCTCTAGATGATTTTGACTCTGGGTGATCCCAAGTAGAGTAGATCTGCTCCGTAGATTATCGGAAGCAGAGCAGCAGGGCTGTCTTCTAAGGTGCTTCTGGGTGGATTCAAACCGCTGAACTCTGGGCCAGTAATCCACTTATTCGTTTCTCAGGGCAGCTATTCTTCCTCCACATGCCCTTAGTAACTTACGTTTGGTTCTATACAGTGTTTTTAGGCTCATCTGTAATTACTTTTGTCTGTCTTCACTGGACTGTAAGCTCCGCAGGAGTAAGGACCTTTATTTTAATCTTTGCATCGCTAGTGTTTATCCTATTTCTTGGGAAATGCTTGTTGAAGGAATGAGATGCAGCCGGTGTCCTCAGAAGGCCTACCTAAAGTTAAAAACAAAAACAATTCAATTAGCAGTTTGAGTCAGCAGTGGATGGGAGATCACAAGATGGTGCATCATTTACTGCCAAATAAATTGTGAATAGAAAAAAAAATCACTCTGAGGTTAGGCATGATGAAGGCATTTGGAAGCTGAAGAGCTTTTTTCGATTTTATGGAGAAAGTGGTCTTTGAGCCGAGTTGTGTAGGTTAAAAGAGTTTGGAAAGTGATCTGGAATGGGCAGTTGTTGTTGTTAAGTGCCGTTGAGTCGGTTCCGACCCATACTGACCCTATATGTAGCGTAGTGGTTACGAATCGGGCTGTTAACCGCAAGGTCAGCAGTTCGAAACCACCAGCTGTTCTGCGGGAGAAATATGAGGCTTTCTACTCCCATAAAGATTTACAGCCTCGGAAACCCTGTACAGGGTCGCTATGAGTCGTAACAGACTCCATGGCACATAACCACAACCACAGTGAGCAACTGGTGAGCTTGATCCGCCGACCTTGCAGTTCAAACTCAAACGGCTTTGCAGTCTGGCGCATTATCCCACAGCAATGGGTAGTTACGGGTGCTCATTTTGAAAGTGAGGCTCACCTGGACCGTGAGGCTCACCTGAAACAAATGGATTGCACTGATTGCCCAAGGTCACTTGGCTGTTGTGAGTGGTGGTAGACTTGGTATTTGAACTCTGGAGAGATTGAGTGAAAAAATCTGAACTAGGGTTTACCACTTTGGAAATGGGGAAGAATAGAGCGAAAGATACTTAGAAGGTAGGACAGTCCACCATGACAGTTGTTTTTAAGTGCCGTTGAGTCGGTTCTGACCCATAGCGACCCTGTATACGGTTTCCAAGAGCAGCTGGTGAGCTTGAAGTGCCGACCTTGTGGTTTAAGCGGCTTTGCTTTTGCAGTCTTGCACATTAACCCACAGTGCCACTCCCGAACATGACAGTAATGCTTTAAAATTGTAGACTGGTCTCTAGAGTTTTCATTCTTAAACATCCAGAAATTCCAATACATCATTCTCCCCCTTCCTGGGTGGTGCAAATAATTTTGCACTTAGCTACTAATTGAAAGATTGGTGGTTCAAATCCAACCAGAGGTGCCTCAGAGGAAAGACCTGGTAATCTAATTCTGAGAGGTCACAGCCATTGAAAACCTTATGAAATGAAATTCTACTCTGAAAGATATGGGTTGCCGTGAATGATAACACCATAGCAACTGGTTTGTTTTCTTATAAATATATTAATTTTATTTTGAATGATATCTAAGAATTTTGTTCTTATTTTCTCTAGACCGCTTTGCTGAAATTATCCTTATTCTTGTCAGTTTGAATCACATTATTATTTTTAAAACCTGTAACTGCCTGTCTCTGAAACCCAAGAGTTATTTATTATACATTGTGTAACTGTGTGTGCCTATGTACATACACACACACACATACAGATATATGTATACACACACACACATATTGTTGTTATGTGCCCTGAAGTCAGTTCTTACTCATAGCAACCCTGAACAGGGTTTCCGAGGCTGTAAATCTTTACGGGAGCAGAAAGCCTCATCTTTCTCCCGCGGAGCAGCTGATAGTTTCGAACTGCTGCTGATCATGGGATTAGCAACCTGATTCGTAACCACTACGCTACCAGAGCTCCTTATATACATATATGCTGTTGTTGTCAAGTGCCATTGAGTCGATTCTAACCCATAGCGACACTGTATAGGGGTTTCCAAGGAGCAGCTGGTGAGCTTGAACTGCCGACCTGGCAGTTCAAATGGCTTTGCAGTGTCGCGCATTAACCCACAGTGCCACACCAGGACTCCTGATATACATATATATACACATATATAAAAACTGTTCTTAGCATATGACCATAGGTTGCATTTTGCCTTTGACTAGTATAAAAATGGCCTGGGGGCAGCATCTGACCTCTGGCTTCACAAAGAATGAAAGAGAATCAAACAATATCAGCCCAAGGTCAATTCCTCTGAGGCTGAGATCATACCTGCTTCCACCCTCCAGCCATCACGGATTCTGACACCAACCTCCCTCCCTTACCCCTGTAAGGCATTTGCTACTTCTTTGCTGAGTTTGATAATTCATTGCATTGGCCACACAGAACTCACAGACAATGCTCACAATTAGGGGTGTGGTGCTGTGAATTACTTGATAAGGCTTTCCTATCCAAAGTCATCTTAACTTCCACCGAATGATTGGGTGGTGGTGGTGGTTATGTGCCGTGGAGTCAGAACCGACTCATAGCGACCCTGTACAGGGTTTCCGAGGCTGTAAATCCTTACGGGAGCAGAAAGCCTCATCTTTGTCCCGCGGAACATCTGGTAGTTTCGAACTGTTGACCTTGCGGTTCGCAGCCCAATTTGTAACCACTACGCTACCAGAGATTGGGTGGTGGTGGTGGTGGTTATATGCAGTTAAGTTGATTCCTCCTCATAATGACCCTGTAAAGAATTTCCAAGTTGTGGCTGGTGAATTTGAAATACCAACCTTGAGGTTCAAAGAACCGACCTTGTGTTCCAGTGCTTATCCTACAGTGCCACACCAGGACTGGGAGCATGCACACATGGTGTACGGGGACTCTAACTCCAGGGTTGGTTAGTTTTCTCATCTTGCCAAGCTTAGAAGGAGCTGTCTCAGAAGCAGGAACAGATGATCTCAGGTTTTTCAAGAAAGAACCAGGTGTGGAGCCTTGAGACGCAGCAGGGGCTGAGGCAGCAACATGGCGAGCCAGAAGAGCTGAAGGCTTCCGGTCATGAACCTAGTGAAGCTGAGTGCCTGTGGACAGCAGACTGGCTTCCAAGAAGTGCCCTGTGGTCATTTACAGATTGGCTTAAGGAGCTTTGTAATACCCTGCCACTTGGAAAACTGCTTGTCTGATTTCACAGCTCTTTGTCTCCTAGATGAAGGAGATTCAATACACAGGTATCTCAGGGTCCAAAGGACGTGCTCCACTCCTGGCTTGCTCTTCATGATATTGAAATTACCCCCTTTCCACGTCTGAGATGGCTCTTATGGAGCCTTGCATTTCCATACACCTTATTTGCATGGTCTCATGCTGTAGGATAAGCCCTGGACCTCAAGGTCAGCTTGAGCCATAAGGTCATTGGTTCAAACCTACCAGCAGCCCCTCAAAACCCTATACAGGGTTGCTGTGAGTCAGAGCCTTTGCAGCAGCACTTGGCACCCAGTCACCTGTTGGGAATTGCAAAGATTATGATTAGAAAAGCCATATCAAGTAATTCACTGCACTACAGCTGGCATCTACAAATCTGTTGACTCACATGTTTCCTTTCTCAAATATACACAATTGTTTACCTAGTTGCTCTGGCTGTAAACCTAGTGTTCATTGTTGAAACCTTTATTTCACGATTGACCCTTTATAACTTATTGCCATTGTCTGCCAATTTCATCTTCTAAATATTCCTGGTGTGGCACTGTAGGGAAAGCAGTGGGCCGTTAAACCATGATAGTCACAAGGTCTTCAGTTCAAACCCACTAGTCGTTCTCGGAACCAACTCAATGGCACACAACAACAACAAATATTCCCAATTTTTTCAACTCAACTGCTATCACCATAGTCTAATCATCTGTCACTTGAACGGTAGCATCCTGACTGTTCTCCATCATCTACTTTTGTCCCTTTCAGTACTGTCTTCATACAGCATCCAGTGTGACTCTTTAGAATCATGCCACCTTCCCGCCTCCAAGGCTTCTCCTTGCTGTTAGGATTTGTTAAACTTCCATCTGTGGGTCTCTCCAGCCTAATTTACACTCACTCTTCTTCTCATTCACTGTCTTGCAGTTCTTCTACTGAATATTCAGTCTGTGTCAGATCTGTTGCAGGTATGAGATGAATAAGTAGCTCTGTTAAAAACATGCATAAACATCCTTTCCTTATGGAGCTTATATTCTTATGAACTGATCCCTCAGCTACTGAACTAAGCTAACTCTGCATATAAAAAACACTTTGCAGTGGTTACATTTGCTTATCACATTTATATTTATGATTATTCGATTAATGTCTGTTTCTTTGCAAAAGCTATAGACTTCATGAGAGTAAGGACTTTCTTTACTCCTTTTCCCCACATCTTTATCCCTTATTGTTGTTATTGTTAGGTGCTGTCAAGTTGGTACCAACTCATAGTGACCTTATGCACAGCAGAACGAAACATTGCCCAATCCTGGGCCAACCTCACTACTGTTGCCACACTTGAGTCCATCAATGCTGCCACTTGGCCAGTCCATCTCGTTGGGGGTCTTCCTCTTTTTCTGTGATCCTCCACCTTACGAAACATGATATCCTTCTCCATCTACTGGTCCTTCCTGACAATATGTCCAAAGTATGAGAGACAAAGTTTGGCCATCTTGGCCTTCAAGGAGCACACTGGCTGCACTTCTTCCAAAACGGATCTATTGGTTCTTTTGGCAGCCCATGGCACTTTCAATATTCTCCTCCATCACTGTAACTCAAAAGCATCAATTCCTCTACAGTCTTCTTTATTCACTGTCCAGCTTTCACATGCATATGAGCATATTGAAAATACCATGGCTTGGGTCAGGTACACATTAGTCCTCAAGCTGACATCTTTGCTCTTCAACACTTTAAAAGGTCTTGTGCAGCAGATCTGCTTAATGCAGTACTTCATTTGATCTCTTGACTCCTGCTTCTGTGAGTGTTGATAGTTGATCCAAGAAGAATGAAGTCCTTGACAACTTCAATCTTTTCTCCATTGATAAGAATGTTGTTTATTGGTCCAGTGGTGAGGAATTTTGTTTTCTTTACATTGAGATGTAATCCATACTGAAGGCTGTGCTCTTTGATCTTCATCAGTAAATGTTTTAAGTCCTCTTCACTTTCAGCAAGCAAGGTTGTATCATCTGCATATTGCAGATTGTTAATGAGTCTTCCTCCAATCCTGATGCCACATTTTTTTTCATAGAACCCAGCTTCTTGGATTATTTGCTCAGCATACAAGTTGAATGAGTATGGTGAAAGAATACAACCTTGTTGCACACCTTTTTAAAATTGTAAAACATTCAGTGTTCCCATGTTCTGTTAGAACAACTGTCTCTTGGTCCAGGTACAGATTCCTCATGAGCACAATTAAGTGTTCTGGGATACTCATACTTCGCATTGTTGTCCAGAGCTTGTCATGATCCACACAATTGAAAGCCTTTGTATAATCAATAAAGCACAGGTAAACATCTTTCTGATGTTCTCTGCTTTCATCTAAGATCCATTGGACATCAGCAGTGCTATCCTTTGTTCCATGGCCTCTTCTGAATCCAGCTTGAACCTCTGGAAGTTCTCTGTCAATGTATGATTGTAGCCGTTTCTGTATTACCTTTAGTAAAACTTTACTTGCATGGGATATCAAAGAGATTGTCTGATGATTTCCTCATTCCGTCGGGTTACCTGTCTTTGGAATGGGCACAAATGCAGATCTCTTCCAATCAGTCGGCCAGATAGTTGTCTTCCAAATTTCTTGGCAGAGATGAGTGAGTACTTTCTGTGCTGCCTCACTTTCTGGAAAGATTTCAACTTGTATTCCATCAATTCCTGGTGACTTGTTCTTTGCCAATTCCTTCAGTGCACCTTGGACTTCCCCTTTATGAGTGAGCCCAATCCTGGCACGTAATAAGTGTTCAGTAAATATTTTTTTAGTTGATGTCCTAATGAACTCACTGATCAAAAAATTAAAGTTGTTACCATTAAAATTCCTTCAGTTCATAAGATGGACCTTTGATTTCCTTCCATTCTTGGGGAAAATAATTGTCACATGAATTATGGTTAGTTTTCTGACAACTTCGGGTGGATATTCTATTGTAGATAATGTAAACATGTTGTCAAAATAAAATTATAATTTCTTCAAACTAAAAATAAAAATACCCTTTTGAGGGTTATTGTTTTAACCCAGTACATTATTTTAGGTTGCACCAATATCAAAAGTTAACAATCACTCTGGGAATTTATTATTTTTAAGAGTAAAATAAAAAATGGCAGTATTTAAAAAATACATTTTTTTTTCTTTAGAAAAAGTCCATATAGTTATTTTAATTTCATTTACTTATTATTGCTTTTAAGGAGCCCTGGTTTGGCGCTGCAGGATAATGCACTGGAACATAAGTTCAGGTTGGATCTCAAGGTCGGCAGTTCAAACCCACCAACCACTACTTGGAAACCCTTTATAGGGTTGCTATGTTCAATGACACTTAACAACAACAAGGAGTCCTGCTAGTGTAGTGGTTGTGAGCTGGACTGCTAACCACAAGGTCAGCAGTTTGAATGTGCCAATCACTCTGTGGGAGAAAGATGAGGCTTTCTGCTCCTGTAAAGATTCATAGCCTTAGAGTCGCTACACAGGGTTGCTTTGAGTCAGAAACAACTCACTGGCACACAATCACCACCATTGTTCCTACTATACCTTTAAACAAATGGAAAAACAAAACTCAAGCTTAGACAAGGTCCTCAGAGTGATTAATGATGAAGCCACAAATGAAATAATAAAATATTGCTATATAATAATGTCTGATCAATTAATTTGTATTGATAAATTATATACAGTTTCATTTTAAAAGTTTTTATTGTCAACTGAGAGAAAGTTTACAGGGCAGATCATCAGTTTTACATTCAACAAATCATATACTTTGTTTCATTACAATGATTGGAATCCCCTCCATGTACAATCCATTAACAGTATTACTCTCTATTCATTTTAGCTCTTTTTTAAAAACACTTAAGCATATATAATAATTTAAACCATGAAAAGGCACGTTTTGCAAGTCTGCCTCCTGGCCATCAGCACTCAGTCCCTCTCTTTTCATGAATCTAGAGTCCTCAGCTGTTCCCTCTCTCCGTGTCCCCATCTCTGCCTTCGTCTCTGGTATCGCTGCTTCTCTGGATAGGGTCCCTCATTCTGCTTGTGCTCTTTTCCCGTGGTGGTTCTAGGGTCCTCTGTTTCTGGAATGTAAGATTAGCTGTTGTTGTGAAATGCCGTCGAGTCGATTCCCACCTGTAGTGACCTTGTGTAGGGCTTCCACGGAGCAGGTGGTGATCTTGAACCACTGACCTTACAGTTCAAATGACTTTGCAGTCTGACACATTACCCACAGTGCCACAGCAGGACTCCATTAACTACTCCGTGGTTTTTGTTACGAAACTTCTACATTTACAATTGTGACAGTCACAATTAATTATGATAACAATTACTAACTATTGAATCCTAAGACTCTTTTCCCTATTTCTTTTCACCAGACCCATCTGGACAAGATGAAAAATATTCAATGGGGACTCTATATCTTCCCCCACACACTCTTAAACTAAACTCCATCGTGAAACCTTGTGCCTTTATCATCACCTTATTTTAGGTAGCCAGTGTCTAAGTTGCCTGTCCCTATCTACCCTGTGTACAGAGGGAATAGGATTGATACTTGATGTGAAGACTCCTTCCCTCTCTGTTGGTATTTAGAGCTACTCCCTCCATGAGTATAGGTCAAATTCATCAAATTGTAGCAATTTACCCTTGTTTCCTTTATAAATAAAAAAATTTTTTTTTATCTTCCCCTAGTCGAGTTCTGATTATCAAGCCACTGAGGCTAGGTCAGATGGGTTCTATCTGCAAGTTTGGGTGTTCTCCTGAGTCTCCCCTCATTTCATATCAGCTGGATTCGTCACTCTCAGGTCTATCCCTTTGTGGCTATGTCCTTGTCCATTGGCTCTGGTGTCCCCAGGTCTCACCACCCTTCAGACCAACCAGCCCTTTCTCTTCTCTCTCATCTCCAGGTCAACAGGAGTCTATGGGATGTGGTTGAACTCAGCCCATTTCTTCATTGCTGCCTTTTCCCCTCTTCCACTCACCAGTAGACCAACATAGTTGTCAGCAAGCTTACATGCCTGCTCATGTGTACCCATTGAGTTTCAGTCTTAGAGCGGGGTTTGTCCTGAAGGGACTTGATTGCTTGTCTGGATGGCTTCCTGGCGAACAGCTTGTTTATTCTTGTAGTAGCCAATCATACTGCCATGTTTGTTTTTGGTTTTTCCTGCTGACCTTTCTTTGAAGATATATCTTCTGTTGCTCTAGGTGTTCCAGGCTGGTCTCCCTGTCCTTTCTAGTGGGAATATCCCACCTCAAAAAGTTCTGAATGGGACTCAGGATTCCACCTAAGGCCCTATCCACTGCAAAAGCTCCTCACGAGGCCTATTTCACTCTAGAAAGCTCTAGAACCCCTTTTAGGTATTCCAGTCAGTTAAAGACTGAAGACAGATATACAAGTTTTTTGTAATCATTATGTTTCCCAGCATTCCTTTCTATCCCACTAAAGTAGTATCTATTTTACAATAGTAGGCAAGGGAAACCAGTATTCATAAGATAGGTAAACATCTTAGTAATATTTTCTCTCTTCAGACTATGCCTCAATCCCTGCATCACAGAGCCCTGTTATTCCAATGTTGAGCATGCATCACTATTTACCTCTTATCCAATTTAGCCCATGCAAACCTGTCTCAGTGTTCCCCTATCTACCTATACAGGTATTTTATATATGATATTTTTTTATCTGTTGGCCCAGTCTCTGTGTGACATGAAATTATTTTCTGCTTTTGAGTATACTGTATTGTCAAAATATTTTTCTTATTCTAGATTTTGTGATTCACCAGGTGACTCTGGACAAGGATTGAGAAAATGGATCAAGCAGGTTTTAACTCAAGATTTAGCATTCCAACACATAAAAATCATTTATCCAACAGCTCCTTCCAGGTAAGAAATCATTTTTTTTTTTTCTTCACTGTTTAATATATATGCAGAATATATATACATAGAGGTGCCACCTAGATGTGCAAGGTACATTTTTAATTTTAGAAATTTGCTACTTAAACATAAATGTTATATAAGTTCTACTGGCTTCCTTTTTAAATTTGTTTTCCAAAATGCCATTGAAACTATATAAGTTCTTTAGCTTCATTCTGTATGTAACAGTTTTTAAAGTGGGCTCCTTTGTTTCACAAGGCTTTCTTTTTTTGCAGTTATACTTTGGGTTAAGTTCTACAGGTGAATATTTTATTGTCTTTGAGTCAAACATTCCCCGAAGCTCTCAATGTAACAGATATCCCAAGCATGGCCTACAGGGTTCTCCTTCCTCTGATCCTGCAGATCACTCATCTTTCTAACTCTTTTCACCCCCTTATACTTCTCAGCGTAGTGGTTACGAATCGGGCTGCGAACCATAAGGTCAGCAGTTCAAAACTACCAGCTGCTCCGCGGGAGAAAGATGAGGCTTTCTACTCCCGTAAGGATGTACACCCTCGGAAACCCTGTACAGGGTCGCTATGGGTCGGAACCGACTCGAAGGCACTTAACAACAACAACAAATACTTCTCATAGACGGAATTTATAATTGCAGTAGACATAATCTTTTTAATAATTTACTTAAACCATTGTCTATGTCCATAATCTATGAAAAAGGGTTTTATGATCTTCTTTTTATAATTAAAAAGGTGATTTAGATATAATATGATACTTGTTGAATCAGCCAACAGAATCTGGATATGGAATTGACCAATTAATAAATATTTTAGATAGTGTAACCTAGAGAGGTATAAGGGTAAGCCTAAAAGTACTGCTACAAAAGCATGCTGTTTTTGTTGTTGGGTGCCATAAAGGCAGTTACAACTCGGCATCTCTACCCATTTTCACGCCATCCTCAAGTTATGTTCAAGTCCATTGCTATGCCACTGTGTCAGTCCATCTCTGTAAGAGTTTTCCTCTTTTTCATTGACCCTCTACTACACCTAAGGAGCTCTGGTAGCGTAGTGGTTATGAATTAGGCTGTGAACCTCAAGGTCAGCAGTTTGAAACTACCAGCTGTTCCACGGGAGAAAGTTGAGGCTTTCTGTTCCCGTAAAGATTTGCAGCTCCTGTAAAGATTTGCGCAGGGTCGCTATGAGTCGGAACGGACTCCACGGCACACAACAACTACTATACCTAGTGGTACAGTGGGTTAAGCACTGGGCTGCTAACCACAGGGTTGGC